CCACATATGGTACACCTCCACTCGTTCCCTCAAACTTATCGTGTTTTTTCATTGTACTACTTTTGTTTCGAACAATTTTCAACACGATTATTACACCACTTAAAATATCTCGTATGTGCCGTACTAGACATGTTTATAAAGCCATTTTAGCTTGTTCTATATACACAAAATCAATCATTGGATATATTTTGAACGCGATTTTGTATATTCTTATTCTTGCACAAAACAAGCTTTGTACTATTTTCAACGTAATTTTTAACTCGCCTATAATATCTCATGTCTTTATATTAGCCTCAACTGAAAGATAAATTCCAATACTACACGAAGAATCTTATAAATTACAAAAAAATTGAGATTAAATATCGAACATGCCTATATAAGCACCTGTGGTGGAAAAAAATAAATACCTCGTTTTTTGGGAAATGTGAGGTATGTTGAATACTTCTCGCGATAAATTCATCGGGACGGTTCAATATCTCGTGTACCTCGCGTTCTGGGAAACGCAAGGTACTAAATAAGCATATTAAATTGGGTAATTTAAAAAGAACACAATATCTCACATCTTATAAAAAATGAGACACGTTCTCGCGCTGTATATGACGCTAGGTAGTCTTACGTGTACAGTTTGAGGGATATTTTTCTAACAAATTTACTAAGGGGTTACTGTTAAAAAATAATTAATGTGATTTTTAGTATAATATTGCCCTTATATTACTTATTAATATGATTTAAACTTTCAATTTAAATTAAGAATGATTGTTAGTTGATTTAATTTTTTATTCATTCAAACTTGATCTGAGTATAATATTTTTGTACTTTATTTGATTTGAAAGATTTAAGAAAGCCTCGTCAAACCTTATTTTTAAAGTAAAAATATATATATTCAACTCGATTTGAAATATATATATAAATTTATTTTTATCAGATAAAATAAATATTTACTTTAAAAAATATAAATATAAATATTATATTATAAATGGTTGTCCCTTGTTCCCATATGTAATGGGGTAAGGGGAGGTAAGATAGTAGGCTGCCCCCAACACCAGGTTGAGAGTAGCTTCCGTAGAAGACATCATAAATTTGAATTGATAAATATTATATTAATTATCTCTAAATATATAAAGATCAATTATATTATTATTCTCAAGCTACGTAAAGTATCTCACATCATAAATTTGAATTGATCTTATCTTTTAAAAATGGTAACTTGAATTGGTTTAAATCTAAATAAAAAAGGCATAATAACAAAATAGCTCTCCAATGTTCCCATAGATGATAAGTTTGGTTCTTGTTATTTTTTTTGGAAGTATTTTAATCTCAGCCTTAGTTGACTAATTGTTCACGCATATTATTAAAGTGGCATTTTTATATGTGTTTAGTTATTGATGTTACATGCCATATCACTTAAAGTGATGGTGTTACACATGCCATAGCATTCTAGATGATGAAATGACACATGCTACGTTGTTTAAAGTGACGACATGAAATGTATCATGCAATCAATTAAACACATGTGAACATTTCACTTGCAATGATCATTAATCAATTAACGATTTTCATCTAACATGAATTATATTTATGACGCCAGACAGAATAACGATTATCCTGTAGGCTAGTTCCAACAGATGATTCACAAGAGAAAATTCGCCCAAAAACCAGAGAAAAAAGTCTCTAGGGTTTAATAAAATATTAAAAAAACAAAACTGTCCAAAATCAGTCCATAAGCCGGATTGTTATAGCCAAAAATCTTGTTTATCAGAATTTTACCAAAAATAGCAAAATCCCGAAAATCACTCTAAATTGAAATTCAAAATAAAATAAGCAATCTGCAAAAAAATCCGACCGAAATCAGATTTAAAAAGATTTCCTAATTGACAATCGAAAATTACTATAAATAGTAAAAAATATATAAATCTAGTGATTCGGAGGGGAAAACGGCAGAATTTGAGGTCGAAAAAAGGCCACCTGGAGCATAGCTCATATGGACAGCATGCGCGTCGAAAAGAGCTTTCCGGATTAGGGTCTTATACGCGATTCTAACACCCGTAGCCAAAGTTATGGCCAAAAGACTGAAGCACACTCAAAACGGCCCCAATAAGGAACATATCACAATCAATTCTCGCCTTTGCGCTGATCTACTAACTCATGGTATCTCAGCACCATCAAGGTGCAATCTGACAGCTCAACATAATCTGTCTCGGATCCCCTGCATCAATTTACCATCATTCAAAATGTTAAAAACTAAAATACTCTAAGGGTACGTTTGATTCACGGAATGTAATATTACTTTTGGGAATAAGATTACCGGAATGTAACGTTACTTTGGAAATATTGTATTATCTTGTTTGGTTTGCTTAGCAAAAATGTAATATTACAGTGTTTGGTTGGATGAATATAAGATTACTTAGATGCATATTTTATCAAAGTATCCTTGTGATGTATATTTTTTAACAAATACAACTTTAATATTAAATTATAAATATTTGAATGAAAATTTATATATAATTCATACAATTAGTATACCAAACTTATAATTTTAAATAATTTTCATAAGTATCATATTTATTTATATAAAATATAATATAACATGAAAAATAATATTGTGATCTAGAGTAGAAAAAATATATTATTTTTAATGTATAAGACTTATTTTTTAATAACTCAAAATTAAATATTATTTTAAATATTTATATTTTTACAATAATAATGTTTTCATCTCATAAATTTATAAAATAATTAATATATTAAATATTAAAAATATAAAATAATTTTAACTACTCAAATTCATTAATATTTTATTAAATTGAACTCTTTTTATATTATTATTATTAAGTTTATAATTTAAAGTAAAGCAAGAATAATAAGAATTGAGAATGATCCATATGGAAAAAAATTATTAATTTAAGGGTATGTATGACAAAAATGGTGGGAATTGTTCATTACCAAAGAATTTTGACGTAATAACATTTCTACTATTTTAATCCAAAAATGCTACTATTAGTAATAATTTATTACCTAGTAATAATCTTTTCCATAAACCAAACATGAGAATACAATTTTGACACATGAACTAAACGCCCCCTAAAACAGATATCAAAATTACTATTTATATAAATGTTAGAAGCTGATTTTTTTCATTATACATTAGAAATTTAATTTCTAATCTATTTTTTTTTTCTGAAATATGATATTTTCCTCAATGTAATGGTAGTAGTTAACATTTCCATAAATATAACTCATAGGCCTGTAAACGAACCGAACGCACACGAACGGAGGTGTGTTCATGTGCGTTCATTTAATAAATAAATGAACACAAACGAACACGAACATAAACGAAAAAAATGTTTTTTGTTCATGTTCATTTATTAAGGAATATAACTTGTTCATGTTCGTTCATTTAATAAATAAACGAACATAAACGAACACAAACATAAACGAACACGAACATAAATGAACACGAACATAAACGAACATAAACATTGGACCCTACCTAGGGGTGTAAACGAGCCGAGTCGAGCTCGAGTATTGCTGAGCTCAACTCGAACTTGAAAACTTTCAAAGCAGCTTGACTCGACTCGAAAACTCGCGAGCTTAAAATTATCAAGCTCGACTCGAACTCGAAATATAATATTGAAACTCGACTCGAACTCGAAAATGCTCGATAAGAGCTCGATTATTAGATTCTTGAGTTCAAAGTAAGCTGACTTGAGTTGTTGGATGATCACTATTTACTTATAAATTCGAATACTCCATTATATATGAAAGAAAAGAAGATTAATTAAGTAGAAGAAACGGTGCTTAATACTTAACATCCCTTCCGGAATCATCACCTTTGGACTTGGTTTCGAAAGCAACCGGTTTCTGGGACTCCTCTTTGCTCATCGGATAATCAGCTGGTGGCGCAGTCAAATAGGGTTCCAGTGCAGTGCATGTTGACGATGCTGGGTATGCAGCTTATGGATCGTTTAAAACGAACTAAACCATGTTAATATTGTTGGATTTTCCAAATAAAATTGGGTTAATTATGGAGTTGGTCATCAGAATATCAGATTAATTAATATTTTTAAGATACTTACAAATTAGTCACCAAAATTGATTTAAGAAGATTGACTTAAACATAAATGAATGAACATAAACGAACATAACCGAACAAACATAACCGAACAAACATAAACGAACATAACTGAACGAACATAACTGAACGTTCACGAACGTAAATGAACGAACGAGACCTATGTTCATGTTCGTTCATTTAATTAAACGAACACAAAATCTTGTTCATGTTCGTTTATTTAATAAATAAACGCACATAAACGAACTTCCCGCCTCAAAATTCACGAACGATTCACTTAACGTCCAATTCATTTACACGGCTAATAACCCATTCTCTATAATTGCAGAATGAGCCTAATTAGCATGCTTCTCAAGCATTAAAAGTTGTGGATATAATTGCACTAAACTAAGCTACAATCCTCGGGTCCAAATTAAATGCATGATTTCCGGAAACAATTATAAATATTTATAGCTCCAAATTAGTTACGGCATCACATCAATCGGGTCTGGTCCCCCCACACGCTCACACGAAACCCAACTGGACCCCACAATCTTGTCCTGTCACGCCTCCCGATGCGCTCACTCACAGCCACACACTCTAAAAAAAGTTTAACGCCGTTAACTCTGACGGACAACTAAGTCAACTGAGCCAATTAAAAACCAGTCAGAAAAAGTAAAACAAAAAGGTCAAACTCCCATTCCCTGTTTCAATCAAGCATAAGCATGGCTGTTTTTGTACTTGAAGCTTTCAGACATTTCAGTTCATTGATTTAAATAGTGGTTTATATTATTAATTATCATGATAACGAATATTATGTTATGATTACAATAAATTTCATGCAGTTCAGATTGTAATTTAAATTTCTACTCGTGTTATTACAGTGTTTTGAAGGGTTTTAAGACTGGGTTAAACAATGGCTAACGTTTGAGGGGAGGGGGGATGTGTCTGTGTTTTGTCGGTATTCCATAACGGGTCTGAATGTTGGAAGCAAAGCGAAACGCATGGCTGAAAATAGAGGCACCGCTCCACCATAATATCTGTCAACTTCTCTTTTATATATTACCAACAAACGCCACTGGTTTGGCTTGAGTTGTGTGGAGGGGAAAAAAGAGGGATCGATTTACAGTGTCGGGTAAGAGTCTCTCTCTCTCTCTCTCTCTCTCTCTCTCTCTCTCTCTCTATTTTGCGAAAAAGAGTTGAAGTAGTTTGGTTTTAAGGTTGTCTTGTCTTTGTTCTGTTTCTTTTTTAACGGGAAAGGTGGCCTTTTGAAGACATGGATACAACGGACAATGCTTTTGTGGGTAAAGATGAAGGGTCGGGTAGATCGGATCATAGCTTCATGGTAATGAGAATGCCAATGGCTCTTCATAATCATGACCACCGTTCTTCTTCTTCTTCTTCTTCTTCTTCATCATCATCATCATCATCATCTTGTTATGTTGATGGATTTGATGGAGGAGCTGGTGGTGTTGGGCTCGTTGTTTGCAACACAAGCAATCGGGAACTATGCAGGGGCGATATATACGATGTTGTCGGTGCTGCTTCTGTTTCTGCTGCTTCAGGTTTGTTAAAGTCTCTGCACCATCACTCCTTTTCCGCTGATCCTTCTTTCGTCCATAATTTTTCCGGTAAAAAGAGAAGAAAAAGCTCTTCCTTTTTACTTCATCCATTTTTGTTCTGATTTTGTTTTATGAAGTGATTAAAAGAGTGTTTTAGATTAATGCATGGTGCTCGAAATTTAATGAAAGTAGGAGAAATGGCAGCGCCTGTGAATGCTGGAGTTCCTTTCACAGCAGCTCAGTGGCAAGAGCTGGAAAGGCAGACCATGATATTCAATTACATGATGGCATCTGTCCCTGTCCCTGTCCCTGCTGAACAACTCATACCCATCACCAGAAACTCCTCAAATGGTAACCTTTTTCTTCTTATTTCGCTATCTTTTTCTTGCTTTAATTATAAGGGGTCGTCGGCATGCAATTCTTGTTGTTGTTAGAAGCGATGAAGGGGTCTTTGGAATTGGGGTTTTCGAGTAATAGCTCCGACCCGGAGCCATGGAGGTGCAGGAGAACAGATGGGAAGAAATGGAGGTGCTCGAGAGACGTGGCGTCTGACCAAAAATACTGTGAGCGCCACTCTCATAAGAGCCGTCCCCGTTCAAGAAAGCCTGTGGAATTGCCAAACCAGTCGTCCAATACTGATCACAAATCACAAAGACTCGACAACATAGCATCTGATGGCACCAAGCAGGTTCATCAAACCGCACATTTTGCAAGCCACAACGATGCTCATTTGTTCACATCTTCATTTGATCAATCCAGGTTAGTATAATTTTCTCAATGTTAATATATAAATGCATGATGTGGACTTGTTGTCTTACTCGAGTTACTGTTAAATGTTAATGGTTGTCCCGTGAAGGTGCTTGAAATGGTTCATGAAAGGGGAGACCACCGTTCCTTTTGCCAGCAATTCCAACACCGAGTGGCAGCAGTTTAAAGCACAAGGGACAAATTATGGGGGAAATGCTGCCGAACATCATCAGCTCAATTTGCAAGCTCAACATCTAAACGAGCAGTTTAGCCCCGGTTTAGCCTCTTTGGGAATAGCCTTGAATCTAAACCAAGCACATTCACAAGAAACCAGGGCCTTCATCGATGCATGGTCATCAGCTGACAGAGAGGTTGTTGAAATGGATGGAATAGGGAGCAAAAAGCTACCACCCTCATCTCTAACGCTGTCAATGTCAGCTGGGAATGTTGAAAACATTCAAGAGGAAGACGATGAGAACAGTCATGGGATGGGCGGTTTGGGTTTCGGTTTCATGGGCTTAGCAACGGATAATGTGAGGGCTTTGAGACCACCACCCCAAATGGCAGATAACATTTCGTGGATGGGGTCGTCGCCTGGTGGACCACTGGCTGAAGCACTGTGTCTCGGCATTGCAACTAGTCAGACCACAAGTACAAGTAGCTGCAGTAAGAGCACGTGAGACGTCCACCATCACCAGCTAGCTAACTTTGGTATTCAACTTATGGATAAAAACTTTATTAACTTTGTTAATGTAAGAACTTTGCTAATATTGGACAAAGGGTTTTCTTAAATGGAAAAATCGATGTCACTTGCCAGCCCAAAGCGATGATCGGTAAATGGCTGAATAATAACCTTTGTTTCTTTTTCGTTTTGGAAAAAAAAAGGGGCATGATTTGCTTTGGTCTCCATGCTTTTACATCCCATATAGCTCAATAATATCAGTGATTTTGAATTTGCAGTGTAGAAATATGAATAGATATGTTTAATTTCCATTAAAATCAATGATGCTATAATTTATCATCATCAGAAGCTTGCAGAAGGAACATGTTAGCAATCTATCACTTGTCGTTTTTATCACATTCAGTAAGTACAGTACTCTTTATGAGCAAAGAGCCTATTAATTAGCATCCATAAATGTTTTCCTATGTCATGGGTGTCAGAATGAAACTTTTCTTCATTTATCCTCTTTCTAAGAAAGAGGAAAAAGATAAAATTTCCATCAATCAAGCCACAAATGAATGGAGAACTTTTATTTACTTGTTAGTTGTTAATAGTGTTATTGATGTGAGTTTCCGTCTGATATTTTAACTGTAGAACTGTTTAATTTTTTTCACATGCTATATTATGATTAGGTGCTGGGAATAGAAAAGAAAAGGGCATGGAACTATTGGACCCAATGGCATCTGAGACAACAAAATCTTTGAAATTCCATAAGAATAAACCACTTCATCTAAGCCCAAATGATGCATTTTAACTTCTAATGAGAATCAAATCAGATAAACAATGTGCCGAGAATGAAGATGTACGTCAATAATCATGTCTCGTTTCAACCACCTTATATCTGTAGTTGAACATGGAAAAATTTGTCCCCCAAAACTTTCTGTATAGGAAGAGTAGAGTGATTCTTTCTTCATCCAATAGTGACCCTCAAATGCACTCTTGAAACTAGGGCTTCTCAAGTTCTGGCTAAAGCTACTGCCAACATGGTTTTCAAGAGCTGGATATGAGAGTATCTTCTTAGCTAAAGACCCACCTCGTTCCCTCCCCGGTGTCGATGGCCGTTGCCTTGGTGTACTCTGGGATCGCACCTTAGCCTTTGCAGACTCTGTGGCAGCCATATAATTCGGCACTGTGTTTACATACCGAGATATTCCATTCGTTGTGCAATATGTGGAAGCCAAGCTAGGGGTGTTTGCTGCTGAGCTGTAGGATTTCTCTTCTTTCAGGCGCCGAGGGCTGGCTGAACGTACTTGCAAAGGCTTTGTCTTGCAGGGTGAAGGTGTAGGTGGAAATTGATAGAGACAGAAACCGTGGGGTTCTCTTTCCATATGGGGAACGACAGTGTGTGAAGTGGAGAATTGTCTCTGATGTTGATATTGGGATCTTCTGATTGTTGGAGAAGAGCAGGATTGGAGCTTAAAACTATCTATTTCTGCAGTCTTTATGGAGTTTCTTTTATCGGTTGATGCCCTGTTGTTGCTCTCCCATTGCTTTACCGGTCAAGCCATTTAGTTTTCTCTTCAACCTCCTTTTCATCTTCCCCGGATATGGTCCTCCTCGATCTCCATATCTTATATGTTTAAAATTATTATCAGTTAAAACCATGCACTGGTTCCAATACAATAGCACTCATGCAATGGTTGCCTGGCTAGAGAAAGCATAAGCAAGGGCCTTCTCACGTTTCAATGCAGCTTCCCTTCTGTTCTGCAACGATGCTTCGATCTCTTCACTTGTCTGTGGCATGTCGTCCCATTCGTCTGTTGGACAGCTCATGTCTCGGGACTGTGCCATAAATCCAACCACGTACGTACTCGAAATGAAAAAGAAAATGGAGTTTTTAAAAGAAGAAAAAGTTGATTGTGGCTTGTACTTGCGACGGACTTCCGCCTACGAATATCTTGAAGATATCTAGATTCCCACAACGCATTGGTTTCACCAAACATAGACTTTCTGTACCCTTCATGTGAAAGCCTTGCACGTTGTTGATCCAGCACTCTGTCTTGTACTCTAACCAAAGATTGCATGCATTTCAGTGCCAACTTTGTTTGCCGTCTGACGTTGTGTTCCCTCACTAAAGCGCGAAGCTTCACTAGCCCCTTCAGTGCACGCAATGCTCTCCTTGCCTTCACAAAAACCATTAAATAACATAGATTACTTGCATACAGGCCAGATAGTCGCAGGCTTGCAGCAGAATGTTTTAATGGTGTAAGTAACTTCACTTACTAGGTAACCTCTGAAAGCTGTTTAAATGACAACAGCTGCATAGAGTTCTCTAACGTTGGCATAATTTGAAGGTCTAGAACTAAGCCTAACGATCTCAACCGCCTCTTGAGCTGTCGCCACTGCAGCTTCAGCTGCTGCCGCTGTGGCGGCTGCAATGGCAATCGCGTGACGTGTCTCTGCAAAGTCCATGGATGCATTCACAGGTACTGTAGTGTCTGCAGCAGCCTTTGTCGTTGCCTTTACTAGGCCTTCTAAATAGCCATCTCCTTTCCCCCCTCTTCTGCACCACCAAAATCGATTAAATTACACAAAAACAAGCATACACAGATGCAGTTAAACAACAAGCTACTACCTTTTCTTTTTCTTCCTGCCCACATTCTTCTCGTCTTCTGCTACTCCTTTTCTCATTGTCTTTAACCGGAGACCTGTTGAAATTATTAAAATGTTTTTCAAGTTTGGTAACCAACTTTGAAAAAATGGTTTTCAAAGTTTGGTAAATGTATCTTTGAAAATGGTTTTCAAAATTTGGTAAATGTTTCTTTGAAAAATAGTTTTTTCAAAGTTTGGTAGATTTTTGTTGAAAAATGATAATGGGATAATCACAATTAATCCCTAGGCTTTAGGGTATTTACAAGATTAAGTCCTTAAGTTTCAACTATAAATACCCTAGCTCATTTAGCTTCAAAATCATCCCAAAAAATCATTTATTTCTCCAATACTAGAGAGTTTTCTTGTGAGTAGTGAGTGTTTTGTAAACACCTGTAAATTTTCTCTCTTAGTAAAAGATCTGCAGCAGTCCGGAGACGTAAGCACAATTGGCTGAACTCCGTTATCAATTTCGGGTATTATTTTTCTGCTTTTATTTTGTATTCTCACTAATCTGACTATAGGGAAATTACTTGTACTTGGTTTATTTTCCCAACAACTGGTATCAGAGCTTTTGGTTGTGAATTCTGTCAATTTTTTGCGGGGTTACTATTCGGGTTACTATTCATGTGAATAGTGAATTTCATGAATAGTGAAATTCGGTCGGCGATACGAATTTGTCGACGGAGGTGTTCTAATACACGGCGGTTCGCAGAAATTGTCAGAAACGATCCAAACGAAGCCATATTCGAGTGGGAGCGATGACTGCAGACGAAGGGGAGGTGAAAATTGAAAAGTTCGATGGTGCGGATTTTGGATTTTGGATTTTGGATTTTGGAAGATGCAAATTGAAGATTTTCTATACCAGAAAAATCTATATCAACCCCTCTCAGGAAAACAACCAGAGGGCATGAAGAATGAAGACTGTGCTCTTCTCGACAGACAAGCCCTCGGAGTTATCCGACTGACGTTATCCCGCAATGTTGCTTTCAACATAGCAAAGGAAAAGACCACGGCGGGTCTTATGGCGGCTCTCTCCAGTATGTATGAGAAGTCATCGGCCTCAAACAAAAGTTCATTTGATGAGGCGATTATTCAATTTGCGGATGACGGAAGGGGTATCGGTGGCACAACACCTAAATGAACTCAACACAATCACAACCCAATTGAGTTCAGTGGAAATTGAATTTGATGATGAAGTTCGAGCTTTAATTCTCTTATCATCTTTACCAGACAGTTGGAATGCTACTGTTACAGCAGTCAGCAGTTCGTTGGGAAACAACAAATTAAAATTCGACGATGTTCGGGATCTGGTACTGAGCGAAGAAATTCGACGGAGAGAATTGGGTGAAGCATCAACCTCCTAAGCCTTGCACACAGAGTCTAGAGGGAGAACTTCAGAAAGAAATTCAAATCGTGGCAGATCAAAATCCAGAAGGGGAAAATCAAGAACAGGAAATAAAGATTTTACCTGTTATAATTGCGGCAAGAAGGGTCACTTCAAAAGAGATTGTCGAGCACCGAAGAAAAATACCGGCGCACAGGAATCTGCCAACATGATGGAGGAGACAGGTGATGCCATGATTTTAAGCGTCAACAGTCTGATTGAATCATGGATTTTGGATTCAGGGGCATCTTTCCACTCCACGCCATGCCAAGAAATCATGGAGAACTATGTCAGTGGTGATTTTGGGAAGGTTCATCTTGCTAATGATGAAACCTTGAAGATCGTCGGAAAAGGAGACATCCGACTAAAGCTGCCAAACCAGACCACCTGGAAGCTGACAGGAGTGAGACATATTCCTGGTCTCAAAAGAAATTTGATTTTTGTAGGACAACTTGATGGAGAATGATACAGTACAACCTTTTCAGGTTGTGAATAGAAGATTACCAAAGGAGCACTCGTCATTGCTCGTGGTAAGAAGACTGATACTCTCCATGTAACCTCAAATTTAGAGAATATCATTACAGTAGCAGATGCTGATGGAAAATCAAACCTATGGCACCAAAGGCTTGGCCATATGAGCGAGAAAGGGATGAAGATATTTTTGTCAAAGGGGAAGCTGCTGGATCTAAAGAATGTAAATGTCGGACTATGCGAGGATTGCATCTTTGGCAAACAAAAGAAAGTCAGCTTTGCAAAGATTGGCAAGACACCCAAGGCAGAAAGGTTAGAATTGGTTCATACTGATGTATGGGGACCATCCCCAGTTCCATCTCTTGCAGGCTCACTATATTATGTCACCTTCATCGATGATTCAACAAGGAAGGTGTGAGTTTATTTTCTGAAGAAGAAATCAGAAGTCTTCGATACCTTCAGAAAATGGAAGGTCATGGTGGAAAATGAGAATGGTTTAAAAGTCAAGCGGTTGAGGTCTGACAATGGAGGACAGTACAGAGATAGTATATTCAGAGATTTCTGCGCAAATAATGGGATCAAGATGGAGACAACAATTTCCATAACACCGCAGCAGAATGGCGTAGCAGAGAGCA